AAAGATTGCCCTACCCTCAGTTCCTTGAGCTTTTATTAGAAAAATAATGACTTGGACTATTTTGTAGCAAATTTTATGTGCTTTCAGATACGCCAAAAGAAAATTTTTGATTTAAGCTTTAGGGGGTTAAAATATTTTTTGAAGTACTGTACCCCAATTTCCCGTTGATTTTCGAGATTTGAGATCTCAATGAAAAAAGAAGGTACCGACTCTGTTCTTTTTATTTTCTACTCAATATCAATGAAAATGTCCACAGAGTAGCGATAATTTTATTTTTTGGCAAACTATTATGAAATTATTTACCGTAAATGCTCGAATAATTACCCTCTCTCAAATAATTGCCCCCTCTCAATTAATTACCCCATGTAGCGAGAGGTTGAAAAAATAATTACCCCTCCTAAAAATAGTTATAATTAGCCTGTTTAAAAAAAGCTCAAATAATTACCCCCTCTCAAATAATTACCCCGTCTAGCGAGAAGTTGAAACAATAATTACCCAGGGTAATTATTCGAGCATATACGGTAGTTTTATTTCATTTGTCCGTAAACATATGCACAAGAAATTAAGGAAATAAAATTTATTTGGGTAATTTTTTGTGAAAAACGAATATGTTTCAAATTCTTATTTCCTTTTTCTACTTTTTTGGGGTTTTTTGTCCTATTTTGGGGCTTTTCTTGGACCCAAAAGGACCTCGGGTCCCGAAGGGACCCAAAAAAGCAAAAAACCAAAAGGACCCAAAAAACAACTAATTACCTATTTCTTTTTGCAGAATTAAAATTCTAAAAAATTATTAAAAAATTTAAAAATTGTCTGAGATTAATAATAGTATGTACCCATTCAAGCATAAATTAAATTAAAGATTAAAATTTAAAGATTAAAATATAATGAGGATTTTTAAAAATATTTTATCATTATTTTAAAGTTTAATGCTTTAATCATGTTAACTAAGCAAAAATAATTGCAAAAAATTTATTTAAAAATTATCAAATTTTTTAATAGACTATTAAACTTTAAAATATTTCATTTTATTTATATAATTTAAATTAAAATTTTTTAAATGAATGAATATAAAGAAGACAATTTAAATATTTGTATTTCTTAAAAATTATTTCCTTAAGTTTTGTAGCTAATTAATTAGTTTTTAAAATAAAGTGCAATATTCTTTGATTTTTTTGTGTTGATCAAATCGGAACAGTTTTATTCACGTTGCTTATAATTACTACTATCAGACAAAAGTAAATAAAAATATTATATATTTATTCAAGTCAGAATTATTGAAAAAATATTATTTAGTAATATTAAATAAAATTCTGTTAATAGACCGACAAAAGTTTTTAATATTTTAAAAATTTTAAATATTTTTTCCTGCTACAATATATCATGGTTTTGTGATATTTTGTAGCTAATTTAATTATCTATCAAATAAGACTAAAAATAGTTAAATCAGTTTATTCAATCATTAGTTATGCCTTTCTAAGTTAGGCAAAGTCGCCTTTATAATTTTAAATATTTTTTAAAAATTAATTTTTAAAATAAAGACGTTTACATTCACCATGTCAATTATTAATTGGACTTTATGGATTTGTTTCTTTACTCTCAAAAATTCAAATTTTATTACCCTTTTTTGTATTTATTTTGCCTGGACCTGGAACTATACCTCGCATTGTTTGTGCTTTTGTTCAATTAATCCCTATTGGTGGAGGTTTAAATGTTTTTACATTAATGTTTATTATTGGAATTGATAGAATGCTTGGAATATTTTTTCCTATTTGGTTCGGTTTTTATTAAAAATTAATTTTAAAAATTAAATTTTTAAGGTATTCAATGAAGAGTGTAAAGAATTATGTTAAAAAATTATATTTAATTTCATTAATATATCCACTAGTATTTGTTGCTTATGTTATTAGATCACTTATACAAGATCCTTTTCTGTATGATTTTATTTTTAAAATTAATTTAAAAAATTTAATTTAAGTCAAGTTCAATGTTTTTCTCAGGATTTAATGGGTGTTGATGGTCGTAGTTTAATTGTAGGTGCACAACTTGTATTTAATTTGCTCACATTGGCATGCTATGTATTAATGTTTTTTAAATTAATTTATGATCAGAAGACTGGAAAAAGTAAATTTTGTTAATTTCTAAATAGATGAAGGGATGGGAATAAATATATCGAAAGGTATTAAGCTCATTCTAAGTTGTTCAATTTTTTAAAAGTTATAAAGCAAAAATAGAGCAAGTTTAGAATGTTTATTTAATTTATTCCATAGCTGAGACAAAGCAGTTTTTGAATATAACTTTTTTCCTGCCAAATAGAAATTTATGGTTTTTAACTATTTTATAAAAAATTTAATCCTCTATCAAATGGTATGAAACTCATTATAGCAAGACAAATTAATTTTTGAGTTATTAATTTTAGAAGCAACTTACCTCTGTATAGAGCCTTTGCTTCCATATTTTTAATAATAACGTTTTTTTAAAACAATCAAAAATTCTGATTTTAATTTTTCTTAAAGCTTTTTTAAATCTATATTGAATTGTACCAAAAAATTTAAAAAAAAATTAATTTATTAATGAGATATTAAGCAAAGACCTAATTTAATAATTAATTAATTTAGTGTGTTCAATTCGTAAATCAATTTATAAATCATTAGCTATAATTATGGGAATACAAATTGGTGGATATATGTTTTCATTATCTGCTTTTAATATTTTAAATTTAATTTATTCAAATTTTACAAATACTCAATCACAAATTATTAAATGTTTAATTAATGTTGTTGCTTCATTAAGTTCATCAATTGAAGTACCTACTATTTTTGCTGTTAGGTAAAATTTTAATTAATTAATTTAAAAATTAAATAAATTAAAATATTAAAGTACTGAACATCGTTTAGCTTTTAAAGATGAATTTAGTTGGCTTATTAATCCTTCAAGTTCAAATAAAAATTCAAAAGTTTTTATTTTATCAAATAAAAATACTATAAAATCTATTCAACCTCAATCTACATTAACTAAAACAAAGACGAATGGAATTGTTTCTGTTGGATATTAATGAAAGTATTAAGTTTAAAATGAAGTTTAGTGTATTAATTATATCTACATATGCAAGAGAGATTTAAATAAATTTATTTTTAAATTAGAATTATATTTAAACATTCCAAAAATAATTAAAATTTTATTTAATTAATTAAAATTTTGATAAAATCAGAACTAATTCTGGTAAATCAAAACAGTTGTTCTGATAAATTTGAATAAATATTTTGATTAAGCAAAGCAGGCTTGATTGGCTAGGCAAAGCAGGCTTTATCTCTTTGTTAAAGAATATACAGGAAAAGGAGGAGAAAAATAGATTACACTATGTCTTTAACCATTCTCGAAGCTAAATCCTTAAGCAGTGTAAATGACTGACTGACTGACTAGAAATGACTAACGACTGAATAACAGAACACTAGACTAACTTAAAGTTTCTTGGCACACTGTATGTATAATTAGAAGTTTATAATAATAAACTAATCGAGTATTCGACGATGATTGTCTTATTGTTGTGGTAATAAACAGAGGGAATAATATAAAAGTAGTATGTAAAAGTTTAGCCCGGTGGCTAAACTTTTAGTAAGCTATTTAAATGATAAAACCTCTATTGTTTTACAATAATTTTTTAAATAATAAAGGACTTGACAGCAATAAAAATTTTCTTTTAACATGAAAATTTTAAATTAGTATTATTTCAATGTCTATTTAAATCAGTTATTATAATTAACATTTAAATTAAATAAAAAAAATTTTCCTTAAAAATTCCTCAAAAATTTCCACTTAATTGGCGCCCCATCATCCATCGCTTGTTTTGGCAAAAACGAGTAGTTGCTGCTACAGCTGCAGGTTGAGGAGGTGGGACAGGCCATTGCATGACAGAACGGCGTCGATTTAGTAAAGGGCTATTATTTGTACTGCTATCATCATCGTGTTTCGAAAGTATGTCCTAAGAAAATTAAAAGTTTAATTTAATATTAATTTATCCTCTATTCATCCTATCCCGCATTCAACCTCCGTTGAAATGACATGGGTGAGTCATTATCCAATTACCTCTTCCTCCTCTGAATTAGAACTTTCCTCCTCCCCATCATCTTCATCCCTCGTCTGTCTTTGTTTTGTAACCTCACTTTGTGTGATTCTTTCATCCACAAGTTGAACACCTTCAACTCCATTTAATTGAAATCTATTTGATAATGTCTGATGCAAAATTTCATCATTATTTTGCCCATTTTCTGGTTGAGGATTAGAAGATATAAAATTATTTTCATCTGCTGAGGAGTCTTCCAGAAAATAATTATCTAAATATATTTAGTCAAATTTAGGAAGTCAGTATTTTGGCAAGGGCTAAACAAAGTCATTTACCAAAATTAATCTTTTCTTTAACCGTCAATATACTTACTTCTAGTAATAGGTCCATAAATCACATCATTTATTGAATCAAATCCCCTCGAAATTACAGAATTTTTTCTCGATTCCTTCCTGCAACATTGCTCATTCGAATTATTAAAATTATTTGATTTAATCTCCTCTGAAGTAATAGCAGTGTTTGAGGTTGCAGAAGAACAAGAACCTTCTCCATATATTTGTAAGTCTTCATGATTGTTGTAATGAATGTCGGAAGTTTTTCTTTGGGAAAGCTTAGAATAATTATTTTAGTAAATATTTCTTATTATTTTTTACTAATTGTTCTCTTTGTCCCAAAATTACACCTTCATTAGGGCTATTTTGGTTATAAGATTTTTGTTGAATTGAGGAGGCGACAGTTGATATTTGTTCTTTATTTGATATATTATTGGTCAAAGCTTGCATCGAACTTGATTTTCGAACAACTTTTGGAGGCTGGGTTTGTTGTAACGCTTCTAAAGGTTGTTGATTGTTTCTAGTTGGAGGTTGGCATTGTTGTAATTCACACATACGGCGTTCTAATAGAAGAGCTACAGAAGTGTGCTTAGCTGAGCGAGCATCGTCTAATGGTGTTCTATTCCACCTACAATTGTTAAATACTTCACATATTTTAATGAGAAAATTTTAGACCGGTCCTTCGGATCCGGTTTAACCTTCCCAATTTCTAAGAGAAAAAGAGCAACATCAAAGTGACCCTCAGAAGCAGCTAAATGAAGTGCTGTTCTCTTATCATAATCAGCCATTTCCAAATCAACTTTCTGCATATACATACTTGAAAAGATTGAGAAAATCACATAAACATTTATTTATTAGTTACCGACGGATTGTGTTTAAATCAGCAGCCTTTGCAGCAAATAAAAGAGAAACTACTGCAGCCTTTTCACGTTCACCAACTCGCGCACGTGGATCAAACTTTGGAGATTCGCTATGAACTAGAGAATCATAGTTGTGGAAATTAAATCCTTGAATTAGGATAAAATTAAAAAAAAATATTTAAATAATTATTTTAATTTAATATAATTATAACTTTATTATTAAAATTAGAAGTCAGCTTGATTTTTCAATATTTAGCGAAAAATCATATTTTTCCTTATTAAAATTAATTTGTTTTCAACGTTTTTCCAGTTAAATCGTTTCATACGTTGTATAAGACGTTTGCAGAATTCTACTCCTCTTACTGAATTCCCCATTTTATCCAAAGCTGGTGACCACAAAGCAATTCCCATTATATTTGGAACAACTACTATCATGACGCCAGAAACACCGGATTTAGCAGGCAATCCTACGTGGAAAGCAAATTGGCCAGAATAATCATACATTCTAATATTTATTTTAATTTTTATTTAAAATTCCAAAGTAAATTAATCATTAACCCGCACGAGTTCATCAAAGAAAGAACATCGCGGCATGGTCTGGAGCCAATACAACGTTCTCCTGTAAGTGGACAAACACCTGAAAATTAAGTTCAATTTTAAAATTATTATTGTAATTTTATTTTATCTTAGCGAAATCCAGATTTACTTTAGACAATAATAATAAAATTTATCCAATCTATTACCTCCATTTGCCAAAGTTGAAGCCATAACCTATAAAATCTTTTAAATTTTTAATTTGCTTCTTTAGAATTCTCACAGCCATTCCTTCACATGTAACTTCCAAAGAACAAAGTTGGAAATAAAAGTCTAAAGCTTCTTTAAGATTTCCAGTTCCAGGTGGAAAACATCCATTCTCCTTCATAAAATAAGCAAGAGCATAATTCCTATCAGCGGTATTTGTTTCTGAGAGGAATACTGCATTATTGAAACCAACATATTCTCCTCCAGAAATTTTTCTATATTCGTTTATCATCTTAAAAAAATATTTTGGAAATATTTTTTAATAATATTTAATTTTGGAATTTATGTATTACTAGACTGGAAATGAACGTTCGAGGCCTGAATGCTCGGGACCGAATTTTAAATGTTTTTCTGGTATTGGTATCGAGAAAAATATTTTACAACATCTCCACATCAATAAAGAAAATTTTTTAAAACCCACATGTTCAAAACGGTCGGCCATATCTAGCTTGTTTTGAATCAGGCTAGTCACAATTATGGCACCACTATTTACCATTGGATTGTGTGGTTTACCTCAAATAATTTTTAAAAATTAAAAAAGTTAATTCTCAAATTTACTATTCGAGTCAAGACAAATTTCATTAAATAAACGCCCCGAAGGCTCTTGGCCAACATATTTATGTACATATTCAGCACCCATTTCTGATGCAGCTGATTGATAATATTTTTTAATTATTATTAAAATTTTCAATTTCTACCAATTCCATAATTAAATGCTTTTGATACACTTTGAACACAGAAAGGAATGTTGCTATTTCCAAAGGAATGCCTTTGACCATCAACTGTACATATAGCAACACCCCAATTCTCAGGCGAGACTCGAGCTAGTTGAGGAATATAATTAGCTACTTTTCCTTCAGTTATTGGCTTACACTTAAATTATTATTCGTAAATTTAAAAATATTCGAAAACTGTACCTCTTCATAAATTTCTTTTATAATTTTTGTAAAATGTGCCCAAGCAGGGACAATCAAATCCCCCTGAATTGTCTGCACGATTAGAGACACTAAAATAAGGAAAATTATTTTTATTGTATAATAGCTTGACTTGAAATTTAAGAGAATTAAAATCAAGAACTTGGATTCAGAATTCTGATTATCTTATGTTCTCTTATTCTCATTAAAGTGCCTAGGCCATTTCTCAGGTGCAAGTTTTTTGCCCAATATTCTTTATCTATTGACAAGATTCTGCCGAGATTCTCAGTCTTTGTCCAATTCTCAATCCCCCCCCCCTTTTACCTTATTAACAATTAAAAATATGTACATAGCGTAAATATCCTAATAGAAGCCTTGGGCTAATTTTTCAATGGGTAGCATTAAGTTCGATTCTAATAGGGAAAGTCTTCTATTAAAGATATTTACGATATATAGAATTTACTCGATTCGCTAATCACTCGTTTAAAATCATTTTTGCTAAGTTTCCAATGTTTTGGGTCTCTTGCTTCATTACTTTTTTCTTCCTTTTCATTTTCAATTTCACTTATTTTTCTCATCATTGGAGCAAATCTTGGATCATTTTTTTGAAGTCCATGATTTTTCAACACCTTTAAAATAGTTTCAAAAATTTTTTAAAAATTTTTTAAATTCCAAACAATAATTAATTTCCCAATATAAGCATCTGATTTATTCGGGACTCTAAATAAATTATGAATAAGATCTTCAGGTGATTGTTCATCATCAGCAAATAAATTCCCCAAGCCTTGCTTAGTTTTTTGTAGAGCAGTTGTGAACGATAACTTGCGGTGATGTTCAGTTAGAGGTGAATATTGTTCTACTGAAATAAGATAGAAATTTATTATTTGCAATAGAAACCGGAATGGGAAGGTTGTAAGAGGATTGAGACGATATGTCTAAAAATCCCAATCTCGATAAAAGGGGTTTTTGTTCGGGATTATATTATATTTGTGTCGACAAATAATTTTAAACCTTATAAATTGAATGAACTTCTTGTGAAGAATGAATTTCTTGCTAGTTTTTTCTTAAAGATTTATGCCCTGGGTGTAGGTTTAGATTAACAGATCTTATTTGCCTTGGGATAATTTTTATCAACTTACAGGTATGAAAAGAAATTCGTCTTGGAAAGCTTCTATTTCCATTAATTTGTTGGGACACAGTAGAAATTGAAGAATTACTTCCACTTATACTGCAACGACTAGGGCAGCGACATGAATTATATTCGAATGAAGAATTCATTTTATTTGGAATTATTTTATAAAATCTATTTAATAAAAAATTTAATTAATTTAAAAGTTCGAAGTCTTCTTAAAATTAATTATTAAAATAAATTAGAGTTAATAAATAATTTAAAATTTATTTTTAATTTTTTAAATAATTATTTTAAATTAAATAAAAACAAATTTTATTTAGTTTTTAATTAAAAAATAAAATTTTCTTTTTAACTTTTTGCAATAAATTTTTTATCAATTCAAATAAAAAAAACTTTTTATTTTCGTATTTAACTTAAAATCAGGGTTTGATCTCAAGTTTATTACCTTAAATAAAAAAGGGTAATAAAAATATTTTTTTGTTTTAATTATTGTTAAGATTTTAAAGTTAAATAGATTAAATAACTAATTAAAATAAAAGAAATTTAGAAAATAGAGAATACGAGGATACCTCATATTTAGAAATGTTTAGGTTTCAAGAAACGCCTGGAGCCGAGATTTAAGACCAAGAGTTTCTTCATTTTTAAGGAAAAGTTCTTCCTTTTAAGGAATTGGTTCCGAAGATTTATTTGTAAACATAATAGGTAGTTTGTAAATATTTTAATTTAAAGTGGTTATAAAAAGTATAAAAATTAATAATAAAATTTCGAGAAGGACCTTAATGAAAACGATATTAAAATAGAATCGGAACTAATGAATGTGATGTTGAAATTTTTGATAAAATAGTACATAAATCGGAACGAGATAAGATTCTGTTGAAAATCCTTGTTATCTCGGATTTTCAAGAAAAGATCTCGAATCTCAATAAAATTTTTGTCTTGAATTTATATTTGCTTCTTAATCATTTATTAAACAGAAACATATTAAACAGGAATCATAACTTGAGTTTTTTAATTAATTTAGTGATTTTGAGCATCAATAAAATATCAAAAAACAATAAAATGAAACCCAAAATTTAACAAAATGGTATTCCTCAAACTAAAAAATTTTTATTATCATGAAAAGGTATTCCCTTTTAAATATCTCCACTTCTTTTCAGTTATTTTTATAGTCTTTTTAAGGTTTGTTTATATTAAAATATAAATTAATGAACAGAGGAGTTTTACGAGTTTTTTTTAAATTTTACCCCCTATTTTCGTTAATAAACGTTCCGCTCATTTTTTCTTTTTCTTTTCTTTTCTATTATTTTCACGTCATGTTATTAATCAAGAATCTTTCTTTCCTTTATCATTTTTTATTTCCATTCAAATTGACCGCGCTGACCAATGATCCCATTACGTGTTAAATAATGAACTTTAATTAATTAATTAATTTTTAAATTACTATAAATATTTCTTTTTTCTATTTTTTTATTTATAAATTTAAGAAATTTTTCCTCAAAGATTATATTTAATACATTTACCGTATTTTCTCGATTAATTCCCCACCCTCGATTAATTCCCCACTCTCGATTAATTCCCCATGCCAGAGATGGGTTGAAATAATAATTCCCCACCCTCAAATAATTCCCCATCCTCAAATAATTCCCCACTCTCAAATAATTCCCCCTCGAATAATTCCTCTTATTAATAATACATTTACATATTAAAATAATAAAATTGGTGTTTATTAAAATAATTTATAATTATTACAATTCGTTCTAATCAGATGTATCAAGGGACCTGGTGATTAATCCACCGATATCCCTCTAAATCCATTACATCTGCCTTAATAGTTTGATATCATTGCCTTCCAATTTAATTCGTCTTCCCCTGCGGATTCGTCCCACCGCGGATTTGTCCTATAGAATAAAAAGTGCGGATCGTCTCACTAAGTTAATCATTCTTGATAATTCCCGCTCTGTATTATCTTTTTCTTTATATCTTTAGAGATTAAATGATCCATACTGGGGGGTTTCATACTCATATAGTTCCATGCTGAAGGTTATAAAATATATATCCTTTAGTATCGTATCATACAATGACTCCTCATGTGGCACTATAATCCTAATACTCACATATTAGGGCAGATAAAGGTCCAACTACAACACCAATGGTTTATATGGTTCCATGCTGATGGATATATCCATGATTATACCTATAGTTATACCTATAACGCAAAAACATTAACCTATAACGCAAAACTTCATGCAGCTTTTAAAATTCAGGAATGGGTTGAAACAATAATTCCCCACCCTCGAATAATTCCCCTCCCTCGAATAATTCCCCATGCTACAGAAGGGTTGAAAAAATAATTCCCCAGGGGAATTAATCGAGAAAATACGGTACCCTATCTTTCTGCCAAAAGTTCAATTCCACTGCGATACCTATTCGTTTTTTATCAAAAAAATTCCCGAAATCAGTTCTCGACCTCCTCCAATTTCATGCTATCAGAAATGGTATTTACTTGGCATAAGATCAGGACTGCACGCTGGATGTAGAAACTTGTGGATCACCCTATTATATCCTTTTGTTATTTATAGTATTTTCGACTTCTAAATTTCTATAAATCCTCTTTTATCCGAACAATTCAGAATTACCTTTGAACTGTTCAAAACTTTTTAATAAAATTATTATTTTTTAATTTAAAAGCGTTTTTAAGTACTTATAAAATTACCAAAAAATTATTTAATATTTAAATTATTTAAAAAAATCTTTTACTCAGCAAATATGTTTAATATTGAAATTAAACAAAAAAATTATAAGAATTTCTGATAAATTATTTTTGACAATTTTAAATAGAAAACAAACTTAATTTAATTAAAATCTTAAAAATACTTATTTATAAGAATATTTTGAAACTTTTCAAAATTTTAAGAAAAAAATTCTTTTTATTCTTTTTTTATCTTTTAATTTAAAATGACCAGAACTCGTGATTTTTTGTAACTTTAAATTTCATAAGGAATTCCCCAAAATTTTACTAAATTTATTTTACGGTGTGTTCTCGTGATTCTTATATTCTTTTATTGTTTTTTTTTATTTACAAAAAAAATTTTTTGTTTATAATAATTAGCACGAGACATCTTTAAACTTTAATTTGAAAGTTTTTCCTTATGAGCCAAAATTTATCTTAATTTCTTTTTTAGTTTACAAAATATACTCAGACATTTAATTTGTTTTTAATTTAAGTCAGAGCTTGTAGAGAATTTTCACTAGCTAAAATAAATCCCTACTAAAGGCGAATTACGAATTACCCTACACTTTTAATAATACTTATAATTTTCTGAAGATATAAAATAAAACTAAAAATATTTTCTGTTTATTTATAAAATAATTCTACAAAAATATATTTTACAATAATAATTTTTATATTTTTAATATTTAATGTAAATTATTTCTCTTCAATGCAGCATTTTGTGCTGCCAATTGTCCAGCACCACCCACACCTCCTTTACTAACAAATGAAGCTACAACTGTCCACAACCTAAAACGTCCTCTTTTTAACAAAAATGATTTCAATCCGAGGGCTAATAAAGCTTGTTCTCGTAAAAGTTTACTAAAAGCAAATCGAAGTATTGGAGGGGCAATTGACTGGATACAAAAACTAAAAACAAAAAATTAAATTAATGTGACTTTAAAAATTTCTAAAAAATTTAATAATTTATTCTAAAAAGAAATAATTATTTACATTAACATCACAGAAAAACCAGCCCACTTATCAGAGCCAATTCCACCACGTATTACAATCAATTGTGCTGAATAAAATATTTATTATTTGGTATAAAGCATTAAAATTTTAGTTAATGGATTGTAAATTATAAAATCCGGAATTAATGTTTTTTTAATTTTTTGCATCCAATGAACTTTTATGCGTCCAATCTATGTTAATAAGTACGCGGTTCTATATATTAGGACTTAGGGTCTGGTATTGTGCGGATCATATGTCCCTATAGATTTCAAGGTACTAAATTCAAGGTACTTAGCGCCAGCATTGGACGCATAAACGTTTCATTGGACGCGTATAAGATGATTGGGTTGATTTGGACAAAAATTTACAATTTTCCTTGGATATTTTGGCCATCCCTAATTATTAAGCTTCTTCAATTTATTCTCACAAAAATTTACTTACCAACAACAAAAATCAAAGAGTTAATGCAGCAAGGGAGTACCAACTTTATTTCCAATGATTGACTGCTAAAATTTATTTTTCCAAAACTTTTTGTTGTAGATATGGCGACACCTTCATTATTATTTTTTCTAACAATACTTATTGTTCTAAATATTGTGGTTGTTTTTTCGATAGGGATTGGACCTTTATTGTTATTTAATTTTGGTGAGGAATTTGAGGAATTTTGAGGTGTTGAATTGTCTATTTGTTCTTCTTCTTTTTGTTCTATTCCATTAACAATAACTACTTCTCTAACCCTTTGACTTATATTAATTCGTTCATTCCCGCTAGTTGAAGATTTACCAAAAACAGCTGCCATAAATTGGAAACGAAGCTATAAAGGGAAAATTATTAGAAATTAAATAATTAAAAAGGTTCTGACAACATTAGGTTTCTTTGTCAAGATCGAATCAATCCTCATCATAAATATTTTTTGTTTGGTGTTTTTATTTTGCAAATTATCTCTCAAGTTAAATGTCAGCTTTTGTTAACTGGAACCTCCTATAATTTACACGTTTCTGGCCGGGAAGTAGAAAAAAATTTTTCTTTAAGTTTTTAATGTAAGTGTGATGAATTAAGGGAGAGGATAATTTTATTAATTGATAAAAATTAGCAATTTTATATTTCTACATAGTTTTTAAATTTTTACATTTCTTTTGCAAAAGATAGTAGCTGCAGTTGAAATATAAATTAGTAGATAAGCAGCGACAAATCCCAAATTTATGCTTAAATAAACTGTTCGAGTTCCACTTTCTGCATAAGCAACCCAATCACAAGTCATTCCATAAACATCTGCTTGATACCAAAGCACAACAAACCTTAAAAATTAAATTTCTGAAAAATGATTGAATATTAAAGTCACCAAGGTGCACTATTCATTAACCAACTTTGAAGGGTTGCTACTCCCACAGCACCCCCACAAATTAACCAACACGTTGATTGACGACTTAATCGTCGAAAATGTAATGGAAAGACTACACACGCAAAACGAGTTACAGCAATAACAACGTTCATGTAACACATACTAAACCAACAAGCATCAGCCCAGGCATGAAGATAATGACTCCATTCAGTTAGAAATCCTGGTTGCTTACTGAAAATTATAAAATTAATTTTTTAAGAATATTACTCGTTACTAGATGGCTTATTTATTACTAACGGCTTAATTGTTCCAAATTAAATTGAATACTTAAGTCTGAAGTCGATATAATTGGGCGGACAACGACCAAGGGCTTCAGTAAAATTTTTTTGATAAGATTAGACGCTTCGCTAATTAAAATAAGATGTTTACTAGGTGCGAGTATGAGGCCAAAAATTAGCTATATGTATGCACAAGCAGATTCGAAATTTCAAAACAATTCTAAGCAGATAAAAAAGACTAAGCTCGAGAAAATGAAAATTTGAAAATTTTTACTCATTATTATGTAGAATAATTTGTAATTATACCTTAAAATAATCCAGCCAGGAAAAATTCCAAAAATTAAAAGTAAACACAAATCAAAAACAGAAAGAACAAGAAAAAATCTAAATCCGATAACTTTTTTTAAAGTTTTAAACATTGTAAGCATTTCAATAGCATGTAAAGCCATCCCTAAGAAGGAAATAATAATCAAAGTCCCTCCAGCGATTATATCGTCAGTTATTTGTTGTTTTTGATTTGCTGAATCGAAGGATTTTAATTTTAATTGTTCAATGCCTGTTGTGTTTATTGGGATTGGGGGATTCATTTGAAAGATGGAATAAACCATTTTTAGATTTTTTATTTTAATTAAACTACAATATTACCCCTATTAAATTATTGATTGATTAGAACAAGAGGGCTCTGAAGAGACCGATTATTGGGCGAGAGAAGTCAGAGAAAAAAATTTTTCTCTGCCCATATAATTGGTCTCTTCAGGCCCTCTTGTTCTAATCAATCAATAATTTGCAAACCCAATCCTTTTGGGCGTTGCGGGGTTTGATTGGAGTAGGTCGTGGGAGAAGTAAAGTTGCATCGGAAAGTGATTCAGGGTGCTTCAAAGGGTATCAAACGAAGCCTTAAGCGGGGGCCGAGTCGAGTCGGGCCGGCGGGCAATCAATCGATAATTTATTTTTAAAAACTTGTGGCTCTCAACCTAAGCCTATTGTGTGTAGCGTGACGGCTACTCCGAAACGGCCACACTGAAACGGCTACTTTTTGGCTCTCAACCTGACCGCACTCAAAAGGTAACAATAATTTTCACTGCCATTTTCGAGAGCCAATTCAGTGCATTATTTTTAATTCGCTATGCGACCCGCTCAATTGGGAATGAAAAATTTGTTTTAGTTCGACACAAGCTCTCTAAAGGTATCTCGCTAATATTTTTTGCAATGTTGGATTCTTCGGCAGAAGTAATGAATCCTAATTTACGCAGAACTCGTAGGAGTAAGATCCAACAAATTAAAATCATCGGGAGAATAATGAAATGAAGTAGTAGTAATAAAGGTATCCCATAAGCTACAGTGGGATCCAAAACATTATCTTGTAAATTTGTGCTAGCAATTTTTAAAAATTCAAATGTTATATTTTGGGTAGTGTTGGAAATATGGTGCATTTGTAAAATCAATATATTTTAAATTGTTATTATTTATACAACTTTTCAACCTAGATTGGAATCTGTAACTATATGTCTATTGTAATCAATCATAATCATTTGATCAAATTCGCCTAAAATAATCATTTCAACACCTCCTGCAGGAATAGGAGTATTAAATTCTAATCGAACACTAGTAGTTCCACTTTTCAAAAGCTCAAAACCACAAGAGTCATCAAGTGTCGATGTCAAAGGTATTACAAAAAAGGTCCATCCATCTTTAAATCGTGACATTGAAATATCAATGGAACGATCTGAATTAGCCATTCCAAGAGCTTCATACATGTCGACGAAAGCCCTAACAAATAAGTCTTGAGCAAACTTTAGCTTGTAAGCGACCATTGGATAAATATGCCCGCCAGTATGAACTGAGATATCCCTAATATCAAATGGTTTAAAATTGAATGGGGAAAGCGCAATGTCGCCATTAAACGCTTTATTTGAAACTAAGGCAACTGTAATGCGCCGCGGTATTGCCGAGCTGAAGGCATTATATTCAATTTCTGTCCGACCTGAAGTAAGATAAGTAGATTTCATTTCAGTTCGACGAACAGCATACGTAGCAGGCTTAGATTCAAGAGTCTTATAGATGTTCATATTAAGTGATGGTTGCACTTCAACCATTTTCGAAAATAATTTAACGTCGTGAACATAAAGTCTATATTGATTATTATCGCCTTCTTTGATATTTTGTAATATAAAAGCATCCTTACTTTTGTAAATGCTAAAGTGAATATCTAAATTATTAAGGAGAAATAATTCTTGATTTCCCAAATCAAAATCAAGGCGCGAAAGGAATTGTGAGCGTTTACCGTTTGCAAAAATAGAGCAACGATTTTTGAAACCATCATCTGTAGGATCATCATGTTTTTCAGTTCTATAATATCCAATAGATGCAAGAAAATGTGATTTAATGTTGTCAGGAAATGACAACTCATTAGTAATATATGCTTTGTACGGATAGAGAGTACCACTATCATAAACTTCAGTATTACCAACAGTTACCTTCAACTGTTGAACAAATGTTTGACCAATACCTTGAATCGATCCGATATTATTATCTGTAGCTTCAATATCTACCCATTTACCATTGGTTCCCAACTTTTCAATTGATAACTCGAGGTATAGATATGTTCGGGACAAGTCAGTCCAAAGGTTATCACTAAACAATCGAAACAAATACGGGGAATCTTGTGTTATTGTACTAAGAGGAAGAATTTCTCTAAAAAATGATCGGACAACAGAAACGTTTGTAGGAGGTACAGAAAAAATACTTAATGCACTATTCAGTGCCAACGGGCTGTTTTCATTAATTTGTTTTGGGCAACTCATTTTAGTATGTTCCTAACGTATCTACTCGTAATCGTTTTGGGGGACGGGATTTTTTGGTAGATTTTTTAGAATATTTCTTTTTGAAAGTAGGAAGAAAATTTGGAGGGCCGATTCGAGAATATGGATGTTTATTTATAGTTTTTGGCTTAGGATCGTGTATTACGTCATTCATTTGCCCGATGGCAGGAGACTTTTCTATATTTTTGTATCGTTTAAAATCAAAACCTTTTCCACTTTGTTTATCAACATTTTCAGCTGCTTTTTGCAGTAAATTTTTCAAGCCTGATTTACCTTCAGTAACAAGAGATTCTTTAAGATTTTTTCCCTCTAAGACATTGCTTAAAACTCGATTACCGGATTCTAAACCCTGTCTTCCAATAGCGCTACCAATTTCTTTACCAATCGGGATTAAATAACGAAGAAAACTTCTAAACACTGATCCCAATCCATTACCTCGTTGGTAAGGAACGCCACGAAAAACATTATAGCCGCCCCATTGATTGGGGTTTTCAGTTAATGTTGACCAGTTTATATTTGCAGGATCAAAATCAATATGCATTTTTATATTGTAAGATTTAATATTTAAGTCATCTATTTATATTAAATATCTGAGTATTAATAAACTCAGATACGAATTTATCAGCATTAATCCCTTTTAGTAATGAAATGATTTTATTCATTGAAAACCCTAAGCAGCGCATATAAAGAAATAAGATAACATGATTGCCACAAGTACTAGAAAATGGTCGTTGTAACATAACAGAATTAAATTGGACTTTGTTAAACTTATTTAAATAATTTCTAATATGATGACTTATCGGCGGCCAAATACCTAGAGAGTCATAGTATTCAATACTACTAGCTGAATTGCAAAATAATCCTATCCAGTGTGTTCCAGCTAAATTGCTCGGATCTGTATTAACTACAAAACAGAATGGGAAAGAATTACTCTTATTAGGAATACAGTCTGAAGCAAAACATCCTACATAAAATCTCTTTGTAACAATATTTCTTTTTAATATTTTATCTATTTGATAGGTATTCATTGTCAAAAGTATGAAGCCTTTTTAAAATGTAATGTTAATGTACATGTTCCATATTGGAATGGCATTAATGTACCACTAGAAGTTCTAATTTCAATAAAAATTTCAGAAATTTCTTTTACAAGTAACTTATGGTATTGTACACATAAAAATTGTTCTTCAATTATTTCATCTTGTTTACCTCTAATTGTTACAATTCTAAGCACTGGTGCTGTCACATCGCCTATAACCATTGGTTCAATTAATCCAGGTGCATAAACATGGAAGCAGGACACGCCTCCTCGCATATCAGGCATAAAGTTTGCAACACAAGTTTCAGTTAAAATTAGCCTATCAAATCCTAATATATATGCAAGCTGCTCAGTTAATTCAATTTTTTCTATATATTCACTATCGATGAATAAGGAAAACCTATTTTTATAAATGTGGAATTCAAAATTGCATGCTAATCTAGGTTTCCGAAATACTTTTATCCAAGGGTCAAATCCAACCTCGTTAGTTACCGAAATAATTTGTTTGAAATCATCAGTCATTTTTAAATTTTCAATATTCACCAAATCAGTAAAAATTTCATCTTCACTTTTTAAGCTAGGAGCTTCAGTTTCTTCACTAATAATTACGTGTTCTTCTGTAGTATCGTTGGATACTGGCTCTGTCCTTTTCTGAGAGAGTTCTTTTAAACGTTTGTACTTATCCTTAGCCTGCGTGCGAAGTTCTTTTAATTTATTTGTATATTCAATGTGTACGCTACGAAATTTTTCAACAAGTGTTTCACTTCCTTTGTTTAAGGATCTATCTAAATTATCTTTTAAATGTTGGGGGTTAGTTAAGGTATTGGAAGGAACAGAAAATTGAACTACATCGCCACTTTTCCAATAAACAGTTACAGTTTGTTCATTATTAGTACCTAACGATGGCCAGGAGTGCGGATAAACCATAACGGCTAGGCCGACATGCCACTCAGAATTAAATTGCAACTTATGAGGTAACCTAACTCGGAAGGAATTTGTTCTATTTCCTTCAATATTTGTGTTAGAAGGAATAATAATATAAAATGAAGTCATTTTTTTACATATTAAAAAATTAAATTTTAATTTATGTATAATTATCTCCAAGTTATGGAATTAGCGGGTATCCAGCTGTTATGTTCCGGGCCATAACCCTTCCAACTGACAAAAACATAATCTTCCCCATCGCGTTTCCTTTTTTTCAAAACTTTATTAATGTCATATAAATTCTCATCCTTTTTAGAATTCTCTTTTACTAAAATTAAATCATTAGAATAAAACCACCCCCTAATCTGTTCTCCATTAGAGTCTTTAATTTTGTATGTAGGAGGTTGATAGGGAACTAAGCGGACTTTATCAATAATAAAAATTTCATTTGTGAAATTTGGCAAATAGCCCTTTTGAAATATATGCTTATATTTTTCGATTCGCACTCTATCTCCTACTGAAAACTTTTTCCTTCTCCATCGAGAAGAAGAGGCATGTGTCTCAATTGCTCTATTCTTTAGTAATTGCCTTAATTTTTCAGCATTTTTAAAATTAACATCAGTTGGGCGCATACCTATACTGGAATTAAATGAGTTATTTATTGAGTTAACAATTTTTTGGATAACATCCACCCATTTTAAAGTTTTATTTTCTGTAAAGTACTTATTTAATCTTTCTTTAATGCTCCTGTTCGCTCTTTCTGCCATCCCCGCATGCCACAGAGGTGAAGTAAGCATAGAGAAATGTTCCATATCCACGGATTTGA